CGACAGATTTTAATATCTATATGAATGTGTTATTACTGTATAACTTGATTTAGTCACTATATGGCTGAAATATTGCCGATGTGACTTTAAATCTTAACTCACTCACTCACTCACTCCAAATAGCATTCTTTTCTGAGCCTTTACATTTCATTCTTGACAATCAGACTGGTCTCCATTTTCTCTGGAATGAAGTTCCTCAGGTATAAACCTTCAATGGTAGTAACTCTGCTCAATGCCACGTTATGAAGATGGTCTTGGGCTCTTCCATCAAAGTCAATAAAAACTCTGTCTAATGTGTCACCTTGGCAGCGATGGACAGTTTTGGCAGATGCTGGTCTCAAGGGGAACTGTGTCCTCTTAATATCAGCTTGTAATTTTTTCTTAACTTTGAAATTCCCGGAAACTTGTTTCATAGGAGTCCATCTTCTTTCAATGGATCCCTTGTATAGGTGTTTATAAGCTCTTCTACTTTTCAGTCCAATATTGGGATCATCAAAAAGAACCCATTTAATGCCTGACTTGCCTCCCTCTGTGAAAAGGTCAACTCTTTTAAAGGTACAAAGAGCTCCATTTGTAATGCCATCGGCAACATCAGTATTGATGGAAATGTCATACCTCAATTCAAGAGCCAGTTGTAATTCACTGTACAACTGCATGATCTTTTTCGGGTCATCAGGTACCATACTTAGAAGCATAGGCTTTAGTTTCTTGCTGCAACTGCCTAACACTGTGTCATGGGCTTTTATTGTCGACATCCTGTGTGTAGAGTGTCAGGGATATTCTCTAAAAGTCGGAGGAGGAGTTGATTTCACAAGCTTATAATAGTACCCTCTGTGGGACGGACAGACGGACGGACTGCGCCACGACATAATCCCCCTTCGGCCAGTCGTTCCCGGCGGGGGATAAAAACAGGTCTTCCAACAACTTATGAAACGATCGCTAAAATTCGGTACCCGGCTGGTGGTCATGTCCAATCAGCTTGCTTGTCTCGCCGGCCGTGCTAATTAAGCCACGCCTCCTCGTTTGCACTTGTAAGATGTAAGTAAAATATATTACAATTTTTCATGAGACTAACACTTTAACGTCAAGTTAATAGATTAACTTGAAGAATCACGTGGTAACGTGATAAGGTGTTAAAAAGCCGTTCATGATCACAGTCACCAATAAACTACACAGGCTCAGATTCGAAAACCGATTTATGTTTATCATGTAAAATGAAGAGCAACTGAAACGGAATCAAATTAAATCAAATTTAACAGAATTTGGATTCAAACACGAAACAAAGTTTTCAAATCATGTAATACCTATCGTAGAAATACAACAGACAGGTGCAACTGAAAAAAAACAAGCTGCATATGGGTATAAAAAAGAGGTAACAATATGCCTTAGACGGCTGGGCACCCGTGCCCACTATGTGAGGCATGGCTTTTCGGTTACGATTGGACCCGTGAAGATCCGGGTAGAACAAGTCTTCAGCAACCCATGCTTACCGTAAAAGGTGACTGTGCTTGTAAAAGGCGACTAACGAGATCGGATGGTCAGGTTCGCTGACTTAGTTGATGCTTGTCATCGATCCAAGTTGTGTGGATTGATGCTCATGATGTCAATCACTGGATTGTCTGGTCCAGACGCGATTATTTACAGACCGCCGTCATATAGCTGGAATGTTGCTGAGTGCGGCGTTAAACAACAAACCAATTAACCAACCGGTTACGATTGCTGCTTTCATCTCCTTTAATTGTCGTGAATCTGTATTAAATGCTGTGGACCATTAAATGTACCATGGGCCATTGGCCTCCACATGTACGTGTATAAATACATGTACATGAATAAATAAAGACGTGAGACATTCATCTCCTATATTGAAGAATAAGCTGTGTTCCATGTTGTACACGAATAGAATCCGATCGATTTCTGTCGCCGGAAGCATTGTACCATTACATACAGTGACGTCTAACTAGGTATTGACATTCTCTCCAGGTTAATCTAAGACATTTGCGTGAGGAGAGTAGTTATTTACGTAACTTTAACTTAGCTGTGGTTTGAAGGCACCTCGGAGATGTGGCTCGCGGTGTGCTATGCACTCACTGCTCCAACAGACAGTTGATGGCCAAGCAATAGTTGTGACTACATTTGGCCATTGAGCTGTGAGCAATGTTTCGATGTTCAAAACATCAGTCAGAAATAAGTTTGATTCAGGGTCACATGGGAATAAAAAAACATCTGTAGTCCTTGGGAGTAATGTGGGAGGCTGGCAGCTATGTCGGGTTGCATACGATCTCGACGGCAGTCAGGGCTGGGACGCATGTTTAAAGAGAAACAACACTTCAATTCGCAGTCGTCTAGCCGCTGTCGTTTTAATTATCCCGCGTCATCACTAGATGTAAATTAGCGTCAGCGACCTAACGAACTGGGTTGGTTGGTTGGTTTGTTGTTTAACCCCGCACTCAGCAATATTCCAGCTATATGACGGCGGTCTGTAAATAATCGAGTCTGGACCAGACAATCCAGTGATTGATATCATGAGCATCGATCCACGCAATTGAGATCGATGACATGCATCAACCGAGTGTGTAAATGTGATTGTACATTAATTTTATGTAGTTTGGTATACGGTAAATATGTGTACGTATTAGTTTGGCAACAATAAAATTCAGTTCATGTACTCCAAACAGCAACGACCCTTATTTTTCAGGCAAATGCTTACAATACTACTCTCTTCTTGTCCACCATGTATACACCCTTACACCTGTGAATTTGTCGTCAACCACTTAATGCTCAGTTGAAGACTTCAATACAGAAATAATTCGTGGTAGAAACATTACATGACAAAGACTACGCAAAATAACTTAATAAAGTTCACCCTGCCTCCGAGGGTGTTAAGGATGTATGGCAATCAGTGGTTCGCATTTGGCATTTCTGGTGTCAGGGGTAATTATGTAATCTAAGATTGTGTTATATAAATCCAGGTCTGATGTTTGTTTGTTTGTGATGAATGTATCACATGCTATGCACGTGACAGCGTAGTAAGAGAGGAATGATCAGTCGAGTTCCAAAAACATCAATCAAAGGATTAACCGATAATTGACTGATTATTCGCTGTTATCTTGCGACCCGTGAAGATCCGGGGTAGAATAGGTCTTCAGCAACCCATGCTTGCCGTAAAAGGCGACTATGCTTGTCATAAGAAGCGACTAACGGGATCGGGTGGTCAGGCTCGCTGACTTGGTTAATGCATGTCATCGATCCCAATTGCGTGGATCGATGCTCATGATATCAATCACTGGATTGTCTGGTCCAGAATTGATCATTTACAGACCGCCGTCATATAGCTGGAATATTGCTGAGTGCGGCGTTAAACAACAAACCAACCAACCAACCAATCTTTGAAATCCTGGTAGAAATAGCATGCTCTGTACCTCAAAAGTTGTGAAATGTAAACACTGTCACCGAGTCATTTATCGTTCCTTGTCAAGGTCTAGTGACCTCTCCGCTCCCTCGCTTTATTTCCGACACCGCTCGGTAAAGTCCGGCAGTCGTCGTTGTTGTGTCATTTCACTCAGAGAATTAGTGACCTTTTCTGACTTAAGTTTTAAGATTTGACTTAAGTCATATTCATGAAGCGACTTAGGCTTAAGTTTTACCAATTTCTGACTTAAATCTTAAGACTGGGTAGGGGTAGGCTTCACCTCAAGGTGTTTGACTTAAGTCAGTAAACAAAATGGCTGTCGTACCGCTAGGTCGTCGTTCGTTTCATCAAAGAAGACAAAGTCTTGTTGAATACAACGATGAGGAGTTGATACGGCGATACCGTTTAGATGGAATTGGTATTAGGTACGTAACTAATTTAATAGCAGCTGACGTGGAGCCTGCAACCAACCGTAACCACGCACTTGACGAGATACAAAAGACGCTGATCACATTAAGGTACTTTGCAACGGGAAAGTTTCGGTTGTGTAATGCAGATGATCATGGTGTCACCCAGCCCACCATTTCCAGAGTTGTAAATCAGTGCATCACCAGTTTGTCATCTGACAGGATTGTGAAACAGTTTGTCCGCTTCCCCCTGCAACTCGGGGACATTAGGCGTCACCAAACCAACTTTTATCACACTGCGAACTTTCCCGGAGTTGCCGGGGTGATCGATGGAACCCACGTACAAATCCAGGCACCAACAGTAAACGAAAATGAATACGTAAACCGACATCATTATCACAGTATTAATGCGCAGATCGCTTTTGACAGCGACGACAGAGTCATTGACGTTGTTGCTCGGTTGCCGGGATCGACACACGATTCACGTATGTTGACAAACAGCGGGCTCTACCAGCTATTCGAGCGCAATGTTGTCCCCATCGGATGTCACCTTCTCGGTGACAGTGGTTATCCCTGCAAGAAGTGGCTACTGACCCCTTTCCTAAGACCATTGCCGGGATCACAACAAACTACAACAGGTATGTAAAGTTTCGTGTTACGTTGCCGATCGTAATCAACAACTTCGAGTGATGTCCCTTGTATTTACCTCGATTACATATTTGCCCACCTTTCTTTCATAGAGCACAAACGCAATATTTGGTCTGGATAATCGAAGCAATTACAAAAACATTCTTAATAAAATACGGAATATTATTCACACCATAACCATATGTTTCTGTTTTAACATCTATTATTATGTCTATGTTAGTTGTTCTAAATGTACAAGTAATCATGTGCTGTTTTGGTAAACATGCTGAATATTTGTCGTAATTAGGAATATATTTTTTCAAACATTACCAGTAGATCTATGAATTTCCTAAATAATCTTAAGTATAGATTATTGTTTTCACATGATCAAAATTATTTCTTCAACAAGTGACATTTATCAATAAAAAGATAAATATATATTTCTTAAACCCTGTTGAAGATTAATGTTACAGGTTACACTAGTACTCTGATATGTTATGTTATTATCAGGTCACACAAAAGAACCAGGAGCATAGTAGAAAGGGTCATCGGTCAACTCAAACGCAGATTTCCTGTTCTCCATGGGGAAATCAGGTTAAAACCTGAGAAGGCTTGTAAGGTAAAAATTATGATCAACAAATGTTAATTTGTCTGCACTATTTCTTTGCCACACAAATAAGTTCAACAGAACAAAAATGTAACAAAGCTAAATGACAATAAATATATAAAATAACAATTCCTAAAGAGGAAAGCAATGATTGAAAAGGGCAATAAGATTTTATTGAGTTGTGAGTACATGGTTGTTTGAATTTATGTTAACAAATGCCATTGAGAATATGAAAAGAACAATGCAGTGGCTCATCATCTATTAAAGTTTGTACATGGACATGAACTTGTTCAGATTGTCTTTTGTATCTAAATCAAGTGAATATATATATATATATATATATATATATATATATATATTTATATATATATATATATACACACATACAGTTATGTCTATGTCTTTCAGGCAATAACAGGGCAGTTGTGGATTGGTAATGACTAAGTGCAGATAAGAGAAAATTCATAAATATTTGAAGTATAAAATTGTTAATGTGCATGTGGAGATGGTCAGGAAATGATGGGGCTGTATGAACTTATTCGTTATTTACAGTAATATTTGTATGTCCAATTGAACCCAGGTAAACGCCTAAATGTTAAGTGTAATTATGTTAATTTATCATTGATGATTTCATATTTCAGGTGATAATAGCATGTGCTGTCCTGCACAACATATGCGGGGACAGAAACATCCCAGTTCCACCCACTGATGGGCATGATGGACTTGGCAGGCTTGATGGGCAGAATGGAGCTCAAGCAGTGACTGCTCCACCAGTAGCTGCACTCAGATACCGGGAGCACTTTGCCAATACCAACTTTCCATGTAAGATTATTTTATTTTAATTTTCAATATTTCCTCATAATAAATCCAGTTTGTATCAGCAGTACATTCTCTGCAAAGTATCTTTCGTTTTTAATCATCTTAATTATCCCTCACCCTCTTAAGTATGCAATATTATAAATGCAATGTACTATTTCTCAAAAATGTTCCACAATAGTCTTTCTACCAGAATCTGTTGTATCATAACATTGGGCTTAGTATGTATTGTGACATTTAATATTCAAATATATAAGTAATTCTTTAATCCCCAAACAACATGTATGATACCTTTAGCTAATTCAGTTTCATGATTTTCAATTTAAGGTATTCCTTTTTCAAAGTGAGGCATTTAATTTCAAGCTTTAATTTTTGCTTCAACAGAGTTTCCACGGTTGGTGAAGGGAGGGACCCTGTGACATCTGGCTCCTTGGAATACATGTTGGCTCCTTCTGGTTGAGGATGTGGATCTGACATGGCGGTGTCATAAATCTCCCTGCAACAGAAAATATTAAAGTTTTAATTGTAATTTTCACATAAATGTTCTTTTCAATTTCAACAAGCCTGTTGTTTTGTATTATTATAATGAGAACATTTACATTTATAATCATATCAAAATTGTTTAAATAGCAATTGACTTAATTTGTGCACAATTGAGGTGTTGATATTATAAAAAAATGTATACATTGATACTAAGTTTTCAAATAATAATTAGATGCACAGCAAGTGGTTTTATCAGTTATTCATGGTGTAACATTTATACAAATTTTCATATGATTATAGAACAGCAAGTTATACATATTAGGATCCAGGGAAAATGCAAATAGGAAATATTAGTAGTTTCAGTTATAGCTTTTTAGATAGATGCTAGCCTAGCTAAGGTAACATGAACCCATCTCCTAGACATACTATTCAACAATACTTTGGATATCACTTCAAGATTTCACTGCACTGCACTGTCAGTAAAAAACCTCAAATTGGAAATAAAAAATGTCCCAGTTTATGATAGTAATAGAATATGTTATGGCTATAGCAGAGGTGACTTAAATTCCACTGATAACAGGACCAATCACCAATAGTGATGATTTCATGCTCAGTGGTAGAATGTTGCATTAAATCTATATGCAGTGGTAAATACTAGTGAAAATGTGGTTACTGAAAATCAGCAAGTTGGCTACAGGGACAGGTGATTTATTATAGGGGTGTGTGGGATTTGTTATACTAATATTTAAATAATGTTCAATTTAATCGATTTAATTTTTTTAATTATTCCCTCCACCAGGCTCCCTCTCGACCCCCACCCCACAATAAATTGCAAGTCCCTTAATCATGCATTAATCGTCGCTTGATTAGCGTACTAATATATCTCGGATAAGTTAAATTAGTAGATGTACACTGCTTAAATATAACTTCATAAAACTCATGTCTGGTGTAAATACTACATTTGTGTACAACGACTGCCTGAGTGACAGACAACGACAAGTGTCACTGTACCTGCCACGCCTCGCCGATGTCACGCCCGGACCAAACTTTCCTTGCAACACATGTACATTTGCTTTCACTAGTTCCGTCAACAGTAAAACCTCCTCTTTCGTCCATTTAGGCTTCCTCTTCTTCATATCTGTCTCTGACATGACGTTGGCAATGTGGACAAAGTTTCGCTGTGTGTGTCGTCTGCCGTAAATAGCAACCGGGAAATCCCACCGAAAAAGACGTTCACACCAATTTTTTTAAAAAGTGTTCCACCGGAAGTTTAAAAATAGCTGGGATTCCCCTTAGTGATCACGCGGGTGCGTACTACGAAACTGACTTCGTTTTTCTTTTGAGACTTAGCTAAATTTCGGACTTAGCATCTTTATGAATATCAACTAAAGTCTCAGACTTAGCTAAGTCAGATTTCTAAAACTTAAGTTTAGACTTAAGAAAAATCTTTGTTTTTTTTATGAATGCCTCTCCTGGTGTTATCATTTGATAGTGATTCATAAACATATGCTGATGACATAGTCGGAATCAACACTATACTCTTTTGGTAGAGATTGCTTGTGAAAATGGTAAGGGTTTTGTCGCTTTTATCTACAGATTCCCACTTCATGTTGGCTTACAAGATGGCTCTGCTACACAATGCCTGCAATGGCAGTATAGAAATGGCTGTAAAATAACAATGTTTTAGCATATACTGCTTCCTACTTTGTTCAAATGTGTTTCGTTGATACAGTACGGCCACGAACCCAAAACAATGGACTCAACAAATGCCGCTTTATGCATTTAATTTTATCATGTTAGAATTAAAATAAACGTACCTTTTTCAATGTTGGCCTAGGCTAGATTTAACCGCGCTAAATTTAACATTTGAAACAACACCCTGTTAATCCTGTCACATCTACAGGTAACCTAGCTCTATACTAAAAACACAGTACGCTTATCTCCTAAAAAAATATATAAAATCTATATAAATTTTGATGTATAAATATAAGACCGTTTAAAGAACTGTGATGGTATTTCGGATTGTCTGTGTTAGTCAAGAAAACGTCGGCTGCCTGTAAAATAATCGAGTCTGGACCAGGCAGTCCAGTGATTGATATCATGAGCATCGGTCCACGCAATTGGGATCGATGACATGCATCAACTAAGTCAGCGAAACTGACCACCCGATTCCGTCAGTCGCCTTTTACGACAGGCATAGTCGCCTTTTACGGCAAGCATTGGTTGCTGAAGACCTATTATACCCCGGAACTTCACGGGCCTGAGTGACAAGAAGTCCGATGCAGAGTCCTTTTTTACGCTTGTACTATATATTCCAGTGACACGATTCAAATTCCCTTGCAAATCGAATTTTATAATTGTCTTTTATGACAACGGTATCCTAATGATGCTGCATCAAATAATTTCGTCTTTTTAAAGTTGTCAATCATTTCTTCCTTCAAAACAATCAACGGAAACAGTTATAAGTTTTTATAACTTTACGTAGAAGAGATAAAATGGCATCCTTTGCGTCAAGTGAGAGCATACGGATTTAGAGCCGCACTGGCAATATATTTACGGCTGTATTAAGTATCAGTCATTAATGGAAACATGTTTTTTCATTCCCGAAGCTAACTAATGTAGATTGTTTAACGAGCTCCTGTTGATACTCCTCTGACTACCATTACGTATCATGAAACGGTGTAATGGCATGTAATCATTGCTTGCTTCACGCACATTATTCCCAGTCGGATTATGTTTCAACCGTCACTGGAGTATATATCATTTAAGACCTACTTACGTCATTTCATCAGCAAAGAGACCCGCTGTAAATGACATTACTAACAACCCGTGATAGATCTGGTGTATGATGTCTTAACACACCTGTCAAGGGGAATAATAAAACTGTTGCGATAAGCCGGTGCCGTGTAGCTTTGATTGATTTTCCTTAACAAGCAGATGGTCCACGTGTGTTATGTATCTGACATAGCTCAGCAAGTGCATTCCGATGTTTGATAACCTTGACATGACAACTGCTAAAAACATTAAACAGGAATACGCGTTTTTACTTCTAGGTTGGTTTGTTTGTTGTTAATACGCCGCACTTAGCAATATAGCAGCTTTTTGACGGCAGTCTGGACCAGACGATTCAGTGAATAATATCATGAGCATCGATCCACGCAATTGGGATCGATGACATGCATCAACCAAGTCAGTGAGCCTGACCACCCGATCCCGTTAGTCGCCTCTTACGACAAGCATAGTCGCCTTTTACCTATTCTACCCCGGATCTTCACGGGTCAGACATATGATTTGGTTGGTGGGTTTGTTGTTTGACGCCGCTCTGAGCAATGTTCCAGCTATATGACGGTGGTCTGTAAATAATCGAGTCTGGACCAGACAATCCATGCATATCGATCATGCACATCGATCCACGCAATTGGGATGACATGCATCAACCAAGTCAGTGAGCCTGACCACCCGATCCCGTCAGTCGCCTCTCACGACAAGCATTGTCGCCTTTTTCTTCTTGGATGGAATAGATGCGAGTGTTGTAGACACAACATTAGCAATATTCCAGTTACAGTAATACACTGTTGTATATTATGAACAACGATCAAAGCCGTCAGTGTACGATGACACACAATGAACCAAGTCCCCAATGCGGACCATACGATCCATTAAGTCTCCCTTGTAGACCAGCATGTAAGTTTCTAGGGACCTTGTTCTACCGGGAATACCCACGGAATGATGAATATAGACCAGACCGCCTCCTTGGTCTAGAGGCCCGTGAAGATCCGGAATAGAATAGGTCTTCAGCAACCCATGCGTGCCGTAAAAGCCGACTATGCTTGTCGTAAAAGGCGACTTCCGCTTTCCGAGCTGGCGCTGTACCTCTAGACCACGGTTGGTTGGTTGGTAGGTTTGTTGTTTAACGCCGCACTCAGCAATATTCCAGCTATATGACGGCGGTCTGTACATAATCGAGTCTGGACCAGACAATCCAGTGATTGACATCATTAGCATCGATCTACGCAATTGGGATACAATGACATGCATCAACCAAGTCAGCGAGCCTGACCACCCGATCCTGTTAGTCGTCTAGGCCTCTTACGACAAGCATAGCCGCCTTTTACGGCAAGCATGGGTTGCTGAAGACCTCTTCAACCCCGGATCTTCACGGGCCTGAGTGACAAGAAGTCCGATGCAGAGTCCATATTTACGTACGCTTGTACTATATGTTCCAGTGGGTTTTTTTTTCAAGTGAACAACTGACTTGCTTTTGCATGTGTTTGTGACACATGCCACCGTAGGGACAGGATACGCTCATCTTTTCGCGAAAAACTGTTAACTGTTAATATCACTATTTGGTTGTGATTCAGAAACACAAGCCCACGATACACGTATAGTCGGAAATGTAAACCGATTCTGCTTTAAGCAGACATTTTTTGTGAATACGGAAGTGTTTGTCGCTTTTATTTATATTCATAAGGCACTCGTGATAGAATTTCCTCGCATGTCTTATGACGTAGTACCAAGTCTAACGAATGCTGCAGCGTCGGTTGTCTTGAAGGCAATGGGGTACATGTGACAGTGATCATTTTACTTCCATCAAAGCATATTGACTAAAATCTCACCCATATTGTGTTGAAAGTGACTGCATACTGTCAGAAATACCCCCATGCCCTTGTGGTCCTTATGGGTCCAGTAATGTTGGTTGGTTGGTTTGTTGTTTAACGCCGCACTCAGCAATATTCCAGCGATATGACGGCGGTCTGTAAATAATTGAGTCTGGACTAGACAATCCAGTGTTTGACATCATGAGCATCGATCCACGCAATTGGGATCGATGACATGCATCAACCAAGTCAGCGAGCCTGACCACCCGATCCCGTTAGTCGCCTTTTACGACAAGCATAGTCGCCTTTTACGGCAAGCATGGGTTGCTGAAGACCTATTCTACCCAGGAATCTTCACGGGTCTCCAGTAATGTAGCTGGCAGTGCTATATAAATATAATCATGATCATTGATGACTGTTTGCTTATTTCATGATAACACACGCTACATTTGGAATATTCTCGTGTCTGCTTTGTGTTAAA